TGTTGTTGGCTTAGGTCTGTTTTTATAACCACAAAAAATATTATCTTAATACTTTGTAAACTATTATTTTAAGTAACAAAACCATAGTTAATTTGTGGTTACCATGGCTACAAGAACCATGATTTTTGGCCATGGCTAACTTTCGTAAGGGAACATGGAAACTCAGAGAGAATATAGATGCGTTGGTGGTGGTGAAGTATTAGACATTAAAACACGTTGTTAACGTCAACAGCCAAAAAAGTTTCACAGGATTATGAATGTACCTGAAAGTGATCTTTTTTTTCCTTTCTCACCGCCGGATTGCTGATGTCTTTTCACGGGAATAGTTGTCCGTCAATTATGATCATTTGCATTCAGCCGCAAACATGAGGTACGAGCGGGCGCGGATGCGGGAATTGCGCGTCACGTGTGCTTAGCCTACTGCGTTCACCGTAAAATGCATTTTATATTTGTATTTATGTATATGTACATGTTAATATTAATATAGAATGAAAGTTATTTTTTTGAGCAACTGGGATGGTGCCCCTCTGGGACTTGGTGCCCTACGTAAACTGCGTACTCTGCGTATAGGGAGCGGCGGTACTGCATGTTTGACTTTATTTACACACTGTCGATTACTCATAATGTGCCTCTTGTGATGTCCATGAAGAAGTTTCACATGAGTAAGGGCGTAGTTTTGGTTTGAACATTGGGGGGGTTGAAGAGTGAACTGTTTTAGAGTCTCCGGATCATTCTCACTCATAAGGTTTATTTGTTTGTTTGTTTGCTTATATATTTATTTTAATTAAAAAGTAATGCGTTACTTTACTAGTTACTTGAAAAAGTAATCTGATTACGTAACTCGCGTTACTCGTAATGCGTTACCCCTAACACTGGTTATTTTTGTGAAATGGTCTTTCGCGCTATCATCTATGCAAAGTTGGTGCAATAAAGTAACATCATAGTTAACAATTGCTTGTTTACATAGGATATATATATGTAATGCATTTTATATTATTTAGGCACTTATAAGCTATAGTTTTACAGAATGTTCTAATTCAACATGCCATGGAAAGTCAATCCAACTTAACATTTTCTTCATATATATAATTCTAGTAAAGGTGGTCATGAGAAGTTTAAAAAGATCTTAATATATGTTAGTGCTGGTTCAAGACTGTTTTCTCCTCTTTTCATCAGTCTTTTTAGTTTATTTGTCTTTTTTAGATACTGTTTGACTTTCTCCATAGCATTTTAAAGTGGCTGGGGGGGTTGTACTTGCTCATTTTGGCTATTGGAGGGGGGGGGGGGGTTATATTCCCCCTATCCCACCGGCAAACTACGCCCTGCACATGAGCCAAGCTATCGATTACCGTCACATAGCAATATGTTTGTTTGAGTATGTTTGGGATTGTTTTAGCTGACATATGGCATCGCTTTTCTGCCACAAACTTTGTAATGCAAACTGCGTTCTACAAAGACTAAATGCTTAATATTGATTTTGTGAAAGAAGAAATGTTTAATTTTGTTGTTTCACTGGTCCATAGAACAGTGGTCTTGAACTTCGTGCTTAAATCCTAGTTGTGTGAAAACTCAAATCTTCAGTAGTATTCTGTTGTATGAGACTCAATGTGGAAACCCACCCCATGTAGAATAAAACAGCTTTTCTTAGACTACTGTCTTCATCTCGTGTGAGTGGACATCATTTTAAACATTTTAACAAAATTGCTTTCTCTTTATTTTATTTTTTACTTTACATTTAAAACTTTTAATGGGGAAAAAATGAAAAAATGGAAAAAGTTACCTTTGAAATTACCTTTAAAAAAAACTTCTGCAAAATTTCTGCAAAATGAAATTCAAGGAAGGAAAATAAATAAATGTTATTCCATGATTTACTCACCCTCAATTCACCTAACCTACGTCCTACGCCATCCACTGGAACGCCACTCTCTCGTGAATGCGCTTACGACTAGCTAGAGACTGCGGTTTATAAAGTTATGTATATTTTCTTACACAAACGCACTGCTTCACTTCAGAAGTCTTTTATTAACCCCCTGGAGCCATGTGGAGTACATTTCATGATGGATGGATGAACTTTTTTGGGCTTCTACATCTCGGCCCCATTCAGTCCCCATTTATTACACTGGTTGTTGTATGTATTGCGAAAATGAAGGGTAATGCAGGATAATGCAGATTGCCTTTGAAAATAACACCACCTGCAGTAAACACTGATAGTGTGAAAATAATGAAATGTGATATAAAAACTTCTTTAAAAAACATTTGCAGGAGCAGCCACGCCATTTTAGCTTGCTTTTAGCCATTCAACTCTTTTATTGTGTCATGACTCTTGTTTCACGGGACTCGCACCTGAGCACTTCACATCGCAAGTGCAATGCTGTACCAGGTAATCACCGAATACTTTATCAGAAAAGTTATATACAGCCTTGGATACTGTATGTATATATATATATATATATATATATATACAGTCCTACGTCATTCGCCCGGAACGGCTTCCGTCTACGGCAGTTAGCGGAAGTGAGAGAAAAGTGTTCATAATGTTTGAAATATGGATATTTTTCTTACAAAAACGCATTGATTCGCTACAGAAGACCTGCATTCACCCCCCGGAGCGGTGTGAGGGACATTTTATTACGGATGTGCACGCTTTATTTGACTACTTTTGGACTGTTGAACAAAAACACCCGCCTACTCCCATTCTAATGCTTGCCAGAGCCAGGATCATTTTTCATATAACTCAGATTGGATTCGTCTAAAAGAAGAAAGTCATATACACCTAGGATGCTTCGAGAGCGAGTAAAACATGGGCTAGTTTTCATTTTTGGGTGAACTAACCCTTTAAGGCCACTAGTGTTCATTTCAGCTGGATGCTGAATTGAATGTGTAGATCGTAATCAGGTTAGATGCCATACTGAATTTCACACAGATGAAAATGAGACTGTGAAGACTGTAAGCTTTTCCCTCATAATGATATGCACTGTATAAAGGTCCTACAGTAAATCAAGTTTTTGAAAGTTTTTGTTTACTGAAAGTTTTTTTCATAAAGACTTATAAGCTGAACAATCCATATGTTGTTAAACAACAGTACAATCCACTGAATGCACTGTGCTCCTATCCTTGTTTTCACTCCTGTCAGAAATTAAATATGCCACATACCTGACTAAGATCTAAAGGTACGTTTTAAGTTTGCAAAAATGTCATTTGAGGCTTTTTATTAGTCCTTTCTCAAAATACCCCCAAAATTGTCAAACAAGAAGCTATTGATGTAAAGCATCATTAGTACGTGTGATATAAGAGTTGTTTATAAGTTAAAGTTCTTGCACCGAACACATTTCTGTAACATAAGGGAGCCATTAGAGGCTTGTCAGCACATGTGCATTTGAAAGTATAGTCTTGAACATTGAGGCACTTTCGGGCAGACAAGTATTACAGCAGAAACCAAATTCCTTTTCTAAATAGGAAATACAGTAACAACGGCACAGCTCTGGAAGGAGATTTGACCATATGGAACGAAGACGGTTGAGTGACAGTTTGGCAGTGATGTGTGTGACACTGGTGGTTTTCTGAAAAATCAACGAACAGAGTCCGGGGCCGGGCAGGCACTTGCATTCACTTGCATTTTATCAGGCATGAAAACGGCAAGATATCAGGGATTACTCAAGACCGTATTACACAAGGGACTCCTGAAACCTCTGGGATAAGATGAGTATCTACACATGGTAGAGAGTAAATGTTGATACAGGACTAATGGATGGAGCAGGGAAATTAGATAAATTACAACCAGAACGTGTGTTAATTTGTCTGGGGAAATGCATCGTTTGGCATTATTTTACTATTGCTTTAACAACAATCTGAGCTGACATGAATTCCACAAGTTTGTGCAAATCCTGATGATCATGTTATCCGGCATCGTTTTAGAAGACTCCACATTTAATTTGATTAGAGACCTAGAAATACTTCGAAAAAGACCTAGAAGGAAAACTTGAAATCGCATCATATGACCCCTTTAAACATTTCTTCTTCCACATAACGCTTCATTGGTTTACATTTTTCAAAATGCTGAAACTTTTATCCCCAGGATTAAATGAGAAATGGTTTTTGATGCCATATCAGAATTTTGGATCCCATTTGATGTTTTTCACCTTGTCTTATTGCAGTTATCTACAGGTGAAGCTGACGTATCTTAAATACCAGCCCCTATTAACAAGACTACATTGCACACGCACACACACAAGGGGTACAGGAGAGATTTACATGAGTACAGTCAAATGAACTCCGCTTATCTCCCAGACCATTATCTTTAGATGTAACTATGCTGTATATCAATACAAAATGCATTTCCCTGCCAACATACTGCAGAGAACTGCATTTTAACCTTATGTAACCAAGTTTATGGTGGTTTCAGATAGACTAATAAGAACTCAGGAATGTTGATTACAGTGCTCATCTTGATCAGCAACATTTTAATGTTGCGAAAGTGGAGTATATCTCTCCACGTTTTTTACAAAAATGAAAATTTGCTGAAAATGTACTCACCCTTAGGCCATCCAAATTGGAACAGATTTGGAGAAATTTAGCAATGCATCACTTGATCATCCAAGTGGATCCTCTGCAGTGAATGGGTGCCGTCAGAATGAGAGTCCAAACAGCTGATAAAAACATTACAATAATCCACAAGTAGTCCATCAAATAATGCCTTGTGATGTGAAAAGCTGTATGTTTGTAAGAAAAACTAAATCCATCTTTAATGCATGTGAACTTTAAAGGGTCACTGCTAACCAAAATATGAGTTCATAATCCATAACAATGTTTCCTCCAGTAGAAAAGTGCATCTAAAGCTATATTACGAATAGGGGACTCATATTTTAGCCAGAAGCAACAGTTTGAAGTTAAAAACGCAATAATGATGAATTTATTACAAGCGTGCAGCTTTTTAATTCATTAGACAATAACTGATGGACTGAACTTGTGTGAATTATTGTGATGTGGAACATTGGGTCAAAATTAATAGTTCCTAGCACTTGCCGAATAAACATTTCTCAGAAACAATATGCTGCAGTGAAATGATTTATAAAAGTTTAGTTGAACCCAGGCAAACCTGTAAAGTAAATCACTTTCAGATAACTCACTGTCACAGTGTTGAAATATCATATTATGAATTAGTGCGCAGTATCCATAATTCTAAACGGGTTGTATTAAAAGTGTGGGAACAAAGATTTATTTAGCATTAAATTAGATTCATCAGGTGCTATTATATAACATGGGATTGTTTGAGGTCACCTGGAACTGGTATTGATTACAAAATGTGATGCAACTGTATTTACAACCAAAATGTATATACAGTAGCCACAGATGCCTCTTAAGCTATGAAAGAGCAATCTATAGCATAATACTTTCCTCTGGGTAAGAAAAGAAAATGCATTTGTGTGATGGAAACACAACATGTGTGTGTGTGTGTGTGTGTCTGTGTGTGTGTGTGTGAATGACTGGCAACACACATCATGTTCGTGGAGCTGTGATAGATGAGTGAAAGGCACAGACACACTTGGGCCGAGTGTTGAATGAGGAGTGCTGTCTCGGAGTGGGCGTGGGTGTGGGTGAGTTTGGGCTTTATAAACGCAGCGAATGGGCTTCAGCGCGGACCTCACTTGTTGAGTGATCTCTAGGAGGACAGTCTGCCGCGAGCCTGACACACACTCCGTTCGATCGGAAAATGACGACGGCAATGATGAAAGGATTTGTGCTGTTCGTCTGCTTGTTCTTCACAGTTGTTCAGTCCATCACATGCGAGGCCAACAGGATAGACGCGCGCAAAAAGCACGAAAACGACGTGGCGCACCACAGCTCTGCCACAACAGCAGGTAACATATTATATTTGAATTGAAATGAATAGAAAATTTTATAATTTAAGCAGCGACCAGTATTTAATGTTTAATTGAATATAATGATAGTTACAGTATAACAAAATGTAAATATTTGCATGCATCCACATATTATTGTATTATAAAAATAATATTAACTTAACCAGCAGCCTAAAACGAACATTTAATATTCAATTTATAGTGACTGTGTATAACGTATATAATTATATTCAATTATATCAAATTATAATTACTTTATATAAATATATTAAATGATAGAATAGGTCTATTTTAATTCAAATGAATAAAATATAGTAATTTAACCATCAGCCTGAATCCAACATTTAATATTATATTATATAATGACAGTTTACTAAAGATAAAAGTTAATGTTACAGTTACTATTATTACATTATATTATAAAAGTAATTATATCTTAATTATATATATATATATATATATATATATATACACACACACACACACACAGTATAATGCATATAGTTGTCTGTATGCACATATTGTTATATTATAAAAAAGTAATTGTATTTTAATTACAATAAATTAAAATATATTAATTTAACCATCAGGCTAAATCCATCATTTAATATTCCATTTAATGTAATGATAGTTACTGTTACTGCATATAATATAATATATAGTTGTATCTATGTATCCAATGCTATATTATATTATTTATAAAATAACTATATATATTAATTAATAGAAATATAATGATTTAACCATGCAGCAGAATTTAATTTTAATTTAGTATGATAGTTACGGTTTAAAATATAATGTGTATAGATGTATATATTGATAACCAGGTGATTAATTTAGTATAAGACTAGATATTATTTGTATCCACTACATCTGTAATGTTATACCCGATCTGCTTAACCTGAGCTTTTTATTTTGAATCTTTCATATTGCATTTTTGCAGGCTACTTTGCAATGTTTAAATGCTTGTGTGTGTGTTCCCCTTGATAAAACACCTGCTTGGCCTGAATTCACTGATGAATTAAGACATTTTACCATGCCTTCTGATGACATTTTATCGTTTACTACTGATCACATGACGTTAGATCATTCACTATGCCACCTGACGACGTGCTGCTTTTCACACATACTGTAACCAGGCCAGTATAAACATGCTTTCCAAACACAAAAGCTTCTTTTCTTCTCTGGGATTTGCAGCTACTGTTAACGTCACTAATGAGGCTTAGAAGAAAACCGATTTTTTTAGCATTTGTCCACGCACAGTCTCACCATTCACTAGCCTGCCCTCAACAGCTCCAGTGAAAGGCTCATTATTTTCGTCAGGCATCTCATGTGAACAGGCTGACGGGAAAAATCTACCACTGTCTCTTTCAAGTGCCACCTGGGTTTCTTCCACTTAAGCGTGGAATGATAACATGTGAACTCCCTAAAAAGCACAAATGCATAAACGCGTTTACAGTCCTAATTCTGTGCATCTCCCAACAGGAGCGTGGAATCCGAAGCCAAAAAGACTCTTTGCCAGGACTCGCTATCTGTCTCAGCAGAGACATCATGTGGTGGTACGTTCCACACATCACACCGTCTCCTTAAACGTGGACCATAACACAACAAACCCAACATTGTTCAAGTGGACTAATGCACATCTGTCCTTTTGCAAGAGCAATATAATATTCCTTCTTGGAAATCTTTTGAGTTAATCCTTTTTACATTAAAACGCTTGAGAAAATAGAACTGCATTAGTTGTTCTTTACTCTGTTCATTCGTTTCTCATGAAAATATGTGTCCTCCAGAGACCTAAGCCCAGGTCTGAGGCGGTTTCTCCAGCGCGGCGCTGCGCCGGTCTGATGGAGAGCTGCTCCTCGCTCACTCCCTGCTGTGACCCATGTGCTTCCTGTCACTGCAGGCTCTTCAACACCATCTGCCACTGCTGGAGACTCGGACACCTCTGCCCCAAGAAGACCTAATCACCCCAGACGCACATATATGTATCGATGCTTCTCAGTTGCTTTCACTTTAGCTCTGCACATTGGACATCAAATGTTGTTTAGCGTACAAAAACAAAGTCATGAAAAGTTGCTTCTTGGTTAGTTTATAAATATTTCTTGAAGTTTGATGGTATCTCGTTCCCAGCTTTCAACAATTCACCAAAGCCATTTTTGTTTGTTTTTTGGTGATGGCACATCTGTCTAATTTGACTCACTTCTACCAAAGATTGGGCCAAAATACTGCTCGAGTTTAGTTGCATACTTTGATGTTCCAGGAATATTCCGTACAGCTGGCATAATGTTGATTACCACAGAAATGATTTCGACCCATCTCGTGTTTTCTTTAAAACAAGCAGAAAGCACAGGCACTACATTAAGTGAATGAGGCCAATTTTTGGAGGATTTAAAAACTTTGATTTTATAAAAGCTCCTACGTAATTTTTTTATTTTTTTTGTATTGCAGCGGTGAAGCTGTTTAAATCATTTGTATAGTCATTTAAGGTTTTAGAATTGACAAGTTGCAAAATTGGAAATAACTGTAGACAGAAAAGGTTAGTAAGCGACTGAAATCATATGAAAACTAATATTGTTTATGTGCGGTTGCATTGCTGAAGCAGTGAGTATTTCAACATTCACAGATTACCTCCGTTCACTTTTTTGTGAATTGTCAGTGTAACACAGCAAAGGCGCAACATGTCGGCGCGCTGCCCACGAGGCCATCGGCGCCAACAAAACGTCTGCTTTTTTAAAGAAAAAGAGGGACAAGTGGAGATTCATATTTGTGGTAATAAACGCAACGCAGTTGAATCTGGAATATTCCTTTAATAAACAAATATAAAGCATTTTGGTTCCTCTTTACAATAAGGTTTCATTTGTAAACATTATGAACTTACAATGAAAAATAATATTCATTTCAACATTTACTAATAGCTTATCAAAATCAAACGTTGTTATCTGTTAATATTATTAAATGGACCTGAGCTAACATGAACTAACAAAGAACCTTTTTTTTTTTTGGTTAACAAAGATTAATAAATGCTGTAACAAATGAACTGCTCATTTAGTTCATGTTAATTCATGCATTGCCTTATTGTAAAGTGTTGCAAGCTTTTTTTCTCTTGCATTTAGCAAATATTTGTTCAGAACAGACCTCCAGATCCACCATATGAGAACCACTGTTATATAACACACATGCAGCTGTGCACCTTTGCTTCTACACACTCTCATACTGCTATGTAGCACGCCATGGATCATACATGACATTTAACTGCACAGTGAATGTTTAGCATATGACTCGAGTTATTCGCTCTCTTTTTGCACCATGACACTAATATGACTCGTTCGCCGACTGGAGATGTTATTACAGTTAACTCTTGTAGAATTCATGCTGGCAAAGTTTAATTTTTGTTGTTATTCTCAATATTTTTCAACCTTTGTTAAGCAAGGGGCATATACCGTTTCACTTGTACAGAATCAATGTAACAGTGCCTAAAAAAGCTTTAAATTAGACAAGTCATTTTAGGTGCAGTAAATGTGAATCTAATGTTATCCTCATACTGTGATCTTTTAATAATACGTTTTAAGATGCTCATTTCTACTGTGATGATTCCACTGTCATGTTTTTGATTTCTACACACACACAAAAAAAGTATATGTGGATGTCAAGTAGACGCTATTGTGGATGAAATGTTGTCATCGTTATATATTTCTATGCACTGTCAGGTCATATTGACTGAATATTATTAGAAAAAAATCATAAATAAAAACATGTTCAGTGTGCTTTATTTGTAATAAAAAAAACATTTAGAACTGCATCATGGGAACTTTACTTTCCGCTATAATACTTCTTAAAGGAACTGTTCACCCAAAAATGAAAATTGGCTAAAAAAAAAAAGTTACTGACACATATCATGTAGGTGAGTTTGTTTCTTTATCTGAACAGATCTGGAGAAATTTAGCATTATATCACTTGTTCACTAAAGGATCCTCTGCAGTGAATGGGTGCCGTCAGAATGAGAGTCCAAAAAAAACATCACAATAATCCACAAGCAGTGTAAGTAATCAACAAGCTGTGTATCTGTAATAAAAAAATCCATAATTAAAACTTTTTAAACTTCAAAACATTGCTTACATCTAAAATACAAGTCCTTTATCCATAATATTACTTTCTCCAGTGAAAAAAGTAATCTTGTCTGAATCAGAAGAGAAATATGCACCGATTTTGATGTGAGAAAACAACAGGGGAAGGACTTTTGCACTGGAAGAAGCATTATTATGGATTATGGACTTACATTTTGGCCAGAAGTGACGGTTTAAAGTTAATATGCATTAATGATGTATTTGTTTCTTACAAACTTGCAGCACTTGACAACATTAATTGATAGACTGGAGTGATAATAAACCAACATATTGAAGTACTAATATCTGTTTTGAACCATTGTAATGCACTGATAACCACCAAAAACTGGTTGTGATGAGAAAGTCACATGATGAACCAAAGCTCATCACAAACAGCTTTTCTATGAGCTGAGGAGGGCAATACTTACAGTATATATAGAAGGTGCACAATGTCATTCACACAAACACTAAACCCCATCATGGTGACACACATGATACTACTGTAAATTATACAATTACTTTTTCTTTTTCACTTCCAAAAACCATATTTTTAACAGTATTTTACTGTAAAATCACATTAAATGTAATTACATTTATTCACCGTATATAGTATGGAAACTTACTGTTAACCAGTTAACAGGTTTTTACTGTAGCATTTTTACAGTCTTTTACTGTTAAAATCACAATCATTTTTTACAGTGTAGAGTGCAAAGCTAAAGTCAGTTAAATATATGTTACTTAAACTAAAGATTTTAAAGAATTGTTGATAATAAGGGATGACATTCAAGCAGCATTTTAAGCATTTGTTTTGTTGTTGTAGCAACAGGAATAAGAACTCACAAAAAAGAAGTAGGCCTATACTTCAAGCTTCTTTTATTTAGTAAACTTAAGTAAAAGTTTACTTTATGTTGTAAGTATGCTAATATCAGTTTATTAAGTATACTATTTACATACTGGGACTAAATGTATCAGTTTTAGTTTATTAAAGTGTAGTTTTTAAGTGTAACAGAAGTAGTCCACAACTAGTTTACTTTTAAGCTTCACAAATTTACTGTAAACTATACTACAAGTAAACTTGTATTATAATGATAATGATAGTTTACTAGTCATGTTCTTCTCAGCCCATTTTTACCTTATGTAAACTTTAATGGTTTTTATACCTCAAGTATAGTTGTAAGCTTTCTTTAAGTGAGCATACTTACATTTGAGCATGTATATGTTATTTTTGTACTTTAAGCATACTGTATACTTTAAGCAATCTGTCTGAGCTATACTTAATCTAGTCCCACATAAAATATGAGGTCTGGTGAACAGAGAATCTAACTCTTGTCCTTAGATTGCGGTTAAAGCATAGAGGGGATAGAGCCTTTGCTATTGCTGGCCCTAGGGGCTTATATCAGATCGGCACAGTCTTTAACTGCTTTTAGATCATCTCTTAAAACCTTTTTTTTTTCCTTGGCTTTCAACACATTGTGAGCTTCCATCCTGAATGTGTGATTTCGTTTTATGTTTTGTTCAGCACTTTGGTCAGCCGCGCTTGCTTTGTTTTTAAATGTGCTATATAAATCAAACAAACTTGAAACTTATTTAGGTATTAATTTTTATAACTGAAATATACTTTTAACTGTACTTTACGTAGACTTAATTATACTTTTCTCAAGTATAGCTTGATCAATACTTTAGTATAATTTTGGGTTACACTTTATTTTAAGGTTTCCCTGTTACAGTGTAATTATACATTTAAGTACTGAGTAATGTTAATTAACATGAACTTACTTTATGGTTAGGATTAGGGTTCGGCTTAGGGTTACTTGCATGTAATTATGAATAATTTATTGTTATTATAATAGTAAGTATATGTAACGTGTAACAAGGACACCTTTAAATAAAGTGTTACCTAATTTGTTATATCGCTGATAAAAAGCAGTACTAAAAGTAGAGTATTTATTTTTAGTTATTATTAACTTATTGTTAGTTTAAAAGAACTACTAGGACTTAAAGGTTTTGGTGACACTTCAGTTTAATCGAAACTGTGGACCTGCAAATCATACTTTGTGTGAAAAGGAATAAAAGTTGTGGGAGTTTTACTGCCTCTAGTGTTCATTTCAACTGGAAACTGCAGCGATTTGTATGTATAAGTCTGTTTTTATACAGTCTATGGTATAAGTAGGCCTACGTTTTTTGAGTTTGATGTAGGTGTAGGTAGAGGCACGTATTTCCAATGAGCCTATGTTATTTAATTATTATTATTATTATTATTATTATTATTATGGACCCACTTTATATCAAGGCCCAGGGCAAATTAGAGTTAGAGCACAATTTCTTAAAAGCGCTGATGGGAGGGGAAAATTCTGCGGGTGATTTACTGACAAGAGCAGCACAAATTACCGCCTGCTTTAAGACATGCTTATTTGGGTGTTAAATAATGGTGTTAAATAAAAAGTAATTAAATAATAATAAAACAAGTAATTTGACGAGCGCAAACATTAGTAAATCGCATTGCGTGATTCATTTTAATACTCTCCTCCCATAAATTTTGTGTCTGAAAGAGAAGCTCCTACAAATGCATATTCAATAAGGTGCAAAAAGAAATGTGTCCATGCCTTTTCAGTGCTTATTTTTCACTGCACGTCTTTAGTAAATCCTACTATTTTAATGTCGTTTACATGATGCGGAAGCAAGCGCATGCGTCGTGATACTGTCTCCACAATGGCGGCACGCCACAGCATACGGGATGAGGAGGAGAAGAATTAATACATGGCAATGTTAATGTGTTTGGTCTTGGTGGAATAGATCTGCTTACACTGCTACAGCAGAGCAAGTACAGAGAACTGCCAATACATCCACAGACATGCTGCTGTGAGCATGTAAGAATTACTGCTGCTGCATATATAACATATACAGTACAAAATAACCCTTATATATGACATTCATGAAATGACCCTGTAGCAGATATATACAGGTGGAGCTGGGGGAGGTGAAGGGCACGCTGCTACAGCAAGCACTAGCCGAGTATTTGAATGTTGAGCAGCAAGCTCATTGGCTGCTGATGCAACAAATACTAATCGGCTCTGCCATGTGAATAGTGATGTGATTATATCAGATTGAGTTACAACCTGTCAGTCTGCACCATCTAAAGTTTCATGACAGAACTTTGTATGTAATAGCAAAGTGAATTCATTTGAAAAGTATTCATTATGAAATTCATTATGAAAAGTATTCACAACCTTTATAATTGTTGTGCTTAAATTTCAGTGTAAGGGTGGTGTCCGGTTTACTGCTGACTCCAGTGAAGACATGAGGCGTCAGCTGAC